GACTGTGTGAAAACCTCACATCCACAGTCAAGGAGCATAACCTGACAGAATCACAGCCCTCAGTATTGAACTTGACTGACATTCTGTTGTTTTCCTTTATAACTGGCAGACAGAGCTTTCAGCTGCTTCTACACTTGTTCATACAATTGAAAAACAGCACATTTAAATCAACAGTAGAATTACACCTTGCTATAAGTTCAATGCATTAACATTAGGATGCATTTGGGATTATCACCTCACATTTACCAATACTATAGCAGCATTCATTCATCTACAATAATGTTCATTTTGTATGTATTATAAAGGATTTAAAACATTCAGCATAAATATTCCAGTTTTTAGTGGTACTTGATGATTATAGCATACTGATTTGATTATCATAATGCATCTTATTATCAATATTGAAAACATCTTAGTGTAAAACTGCATCTGTGTGTGATACTTTGATAAGCAGAAAGTTTTTATACATTTTGTACTGGCACTTTTTATCAGTTCAATGCATCATAGATGAATTATAGTATTAGGGTGAACTCAAACCTTAAAAAGTGGTGTACAGTAGTGTATAACAACTTATTTTTTAATATTAACTTGACAAGATTAACACAATCCATGCACAACAAAAATGCTGGTGGTTTTATCAACCCAATTTTGGATAAAATGTGGACAAAACCCTCTGAAGGGTTATTTTTAATGTAATTTATAGGACCACATTTAACTAAACATTTAGGTTTGTTCATGCACATTAAAAAATGCCCCCCCCCCCCCCCTGATTTGTGTTGGGACAACATAAAGGAATCAAGTTAACTTATTAATTTTAACCAATTTAAGTGAATTGGCCATAAAACAATCAAGTTTTCCCCTAAAACACTCTTGTGTTGTTTCAGCTCAATTTAAAAACAGCAAATGACATTTTTTGTGTATTTTACCCAGTTTGGGTCGAAACAACCCATCTTTTAGAGTGTATTTATTCACAATACCTGAATGAAGATTAGCAAATGTCCAAAACAAAAGTTCAATGTCAGTCAAGACAACCAGAATGCTGTTGGGTTGTTTTAACTGTCAAATATGGACAGACCCAACACTTGGGTTATAAAACTTAATTTTCATTGAAAAAAAAAAAATGTTAACCCACTCTTTGCGATTGTCCAGCAATTTTTTTAGAGCGTACATTTACAAATATTAACAATCTCATTGCATAAAATAACTTAACCTTAAGTGTTAATAACAAAAAACTAATTCTTGATCAATTCCTGAATTTAGCTTCTGCCTCTTACCCAAAGTTTCACTTTGCTTCACTTGATCTGAATGACAAAGCAAGGCTTTCTATTTTGGCGAAATAACTTAAGCGATGGGTTATTTGTTTATTCGATTTATAGGTCCAAACTTAAATAAACATGCACTATAAAAAATGCTGGGTTCCACTCCATCGGTTTATGTTGGGACAACATGAAGGAATTAAGTTAACTTATTAGTTTTAGTCAATTAAAGTGAACTGAACATAAAACAATCAAGTTGTCCACAAAAAAGCTCTATTCTCAGCTCTATTTAAATAAGTAGTTTGAACAAACAGCAAATGTCATTTTTAGGTGTATTTTACCCAATTTGGGTTGAAATAACCCATCATTTTAGAGTGTGTTTATTAACAATACCTGAAAGAAGATTAATAATATTCCAAAATTCCAGTTTACTGTCAGTCCTGACAACGAAAACTAAATGTTAAGCAGTTTTTACACTGCAGTGTGAAATATGGACAAAGCCAATGCTTGGGTTAAAAAAAAAAACTTTAGTTTATTGAATTAAAAAATTAACCCAACATTGGGTTTGTCCAGTATATATATATATATATATATATATATATATATATATATATATATATATATATAGCATACATTTACAAATATTAACAATCTTATTGTAGAAAATAACTGAACCTTAAGTGTTAATTACAAAAACATATTCTTGATCAATTCCTGAATTTAGCTTCTGCCTCATCACCCAAAGTTTTACTTTGCTTCACTTTGCTTCACTTGATCTGAATGACAAAACGAGGCTTTGTTGGGAATCCTTTGGGTTTCTGTTGTGGAGAAATAACCTAACCTAATCTCTTTGTTCTCATCTTACACACACACAAAAAAAAACTAGATCAATAAATAAATCAATGCATTCAAGATTACCTCTCCCGAATGGCTTCGCTGCCAATTCGGTTGTAAAAAGACTGATAGGGGTTGACTATTGATTGATCAGGCTTAAGCTGGACATTTGGGACACAAGACAGAGAAAGCACACCTGGGTGCAATTCACAACAACAGTTTAACAAATGCACGGATGCATAAAGTGAAAAACACAAGCCCATAATCTGCATTATCCCAGCAGATACTGAATGTGCATTGATTACGCCAAACATCAGACTCTTGGTCGTGTAGGTTTAGTCTCATGTTCAGGTTTATGACCTCTCATGGATGTTTTGTTTTGTTCTCATCTTGTTCTTTCCTAAACACCCCCAGTGCGCAACCTCTTTGAAGATAGCCAATGAAAGAAGCATATATATATATACCTCAGGGATATATGATCAGGTTGAATGTACAGACAGTAGCAGAATGATGGATGAGCAGTGTCATTGGGGTGTTGAAGGGGGATATTTCCCAACAGCTGACTTCATTACCCAAGCTATTCCTCTCAAACCCAGCTGGACAGCACCAGCAGGCCTTCATTACCATTATGCTAGTCATGGTCTCACACCAACCCAAAAAAAAAAAGAGAAAGCTAGAGAGGGCAAAGGGTGCGAGAAGGGAGGGTCTGGATATTGACTTCTCTTGCTGTGCTGACCGGTCAGCTTCTATAGGTCATGTTCAAAACCAATTCTGCTTGACGTCTGGTCATCACAGCACCCGAGCGATACTTCATACCCTCATGTAAACACAAACAAATGCACACACAATGTGATAGGCTTCCATTGTTGTGTTCAGTGAAGTGTGCAAATCAGAGAATTACTGTAATAGTGGAGCTGTGTGAACTACTGTCACAACAGATCAGGATTAAGCAGTGTGAGGTCAGATATTATATGAGCTATTTGTGAAACACTGAAACATTTTTCCGGATTCAATATTTAATATTTATTTCGGTGCACTTTTATTTAATGAATTAAATTGATCAAAAGTGATATTTATAATGTTACAAAATTTTTTTTTTAAATTTTAGATGAAAGGTAAATTATTTGGTCTCCTGTGAATATTTTTCTACGCACAGTGAAAGGAATTTTTCACATTATTTCCTATAATATTTTTCTTCTGGAGTAAGACTTATTTGTTTTATTTTGGCTAGAATAAAAGCAGTTTTTATTTTTTCGAACCATTTTAAGCTCAATATTATTAGCCCTCTTAAGCAATATTTTTTCAATTAGCTACAGAACAAACCATCGTTATACAATGACTTGCCTAATTACACTAATTAACCTAGTAAAGCCTTTAAATGTCACTTTAAGCTGAATACTAGTATCTTGAAAAATATCTAGTCAAATATTATGTACTATCATGGCAAAGATAAATAAATCAGTTATTAGAAATGAGTTATTAAAAATATTATGTTTTGAGAAATGTGTAGAGAAAATCTTCTCTGCGTTAAACAGAAATTGGGGGAAAAAAATAAAAGAATTACATTTTTAAGAAGGGGGCTGATAATTCTGAATCCAACTGCATATATTGTTTTATTTAATTCTTTCATTCTTGGATAAATGCTGTTGATTTGAACTTTCTATTAAATAGAGAATCCACTTAAAATATTTTTTCCAAAAAAATATTAAATTCTTTCAAGACTGATAACAAATAAATGCATCACAAGGACATGATTTTACGAAGGATCAAATCCCTCTGCAGACTGACGTGTAACATTGCAATTAAAAAAATCTATATTAAAGTAAAAAACAAATCATAATAACATTTTACAAAAATGCTTATTTTACTGTATTTCTGATCAAATACTGACCGCAAGAAACTTGTGACAAAATATTTTTAAAACCCTACCTAAACCCTTGAACACTACTGTATATAACAAGACGCTCTAAATGATCTTTTTTTTGATACACTCTCAAAAATAAAGGTACGTGATCTGTCACTGGGGTGGTACAGATTTGTACCTAAAAAGTCCATATTATTACCTAAAGGTTACATATTAGTACCTAATAAGTACAAATGTGTTCCTTGTAAAATTTGTAGGTACAAATACAGTTGAAGTCAAAATTATTAGAAATGCCCCCTGTACTTTTTTTATTTTTTAAATATTTCCCAAAAGATATTTAACAGAGCAAAGAAATTTCCAGAGTACGTCTCATATTATTTTTCCTTCTGGAGAAAGTCTTTTTTTTTTACCATAGAATAAAAGCAGTTTTTTTTTTTTTACATTTTGAGGACAAAATTATTAGCCCCTAGTTAATTATTAACCTGATATATCTTGAAAAAACATCTAATCAATTATTATGTACTGTCATCATGGCAAAGATAAAATAAATCAGTTTTTAGAGATGAGTTATTAAAACTATTATGTTTACAAATGTGCTGAAAAAAAATCTTTTCTCCGTTAAACAGAAATTGGAGAAAAAAATAAACAGGGGGGGCTAATAATTCTGACTTCAACTGTATATACTTTTGAGGTACCAATTTGGACCCAAATTCAAGTACAAATGTGTACCTTTTGAAAAGGTACCACCCCAGTGACAGCTCGTGTACCTTTATTTCTGAGAGTGTGTAATAGGCCAGCAGTGCTTCGTGTTTATGTTCTGTTTTATGGACAGTTTTAATATTGAATTTCCATGTTTTATTCCTGTGTTATTTTCTTCTGGTCACAAGTTTGCTGTCATACTTACCAGCACACATAACAATACCAGTTCTGTTGAACTAAGTGCTCTCTTATCGTAATGTTTGTTCATTTGAGTTATTAAAAGTAATTGTGGCAGTTATCGCACAAAATCATTTCTTTAGATATCAGTGGTAATCCAGCAGTCTTACCTTGGACTACCAGCCTGCCCAGTGCGGTACGCCTCATCCTTGTGCCAGGCCGGTTGGCAGCGCACACATACACTCCAGAGTGTTGAAGAGAGACATCCGAGATCATCAGGTTACCAGTGCCAAGCACTTGAATGCCCTCCACTCCAATGGATCTGCCATCTGATGAATTATCAAAACAAAGTTATGAGGAGTTCAGAACAAGTCAAATGGCTAAAGTTTAAAGTCTACTCGCACGGTCCAACACTGTAAAAAATAAATCCGTAAAATTTACGGTAAAAACACACATGCCCAGTAATCATATCACATACACTAATCATAGATCGTTGTGAACACCAAGTATACCCGAGTTACAGTAAGGTATTATTATAAAGGTATTCCTACCAAGTCTACTCCAAGACACAATGGGACGAGGGTTCCCGGTGGCGATGCACTCCAGGATGGCGGTCTGATGGACAGTGATGGTGAGGTTTTGTGGGCCGGACAGGATGACTGGCTCCTTATAGGTGCGAGGAACTCCTCCTGAGAATAGAAAGACAAACAAACAGAGCTAAAACACAGATCACTAATATAAAGATAACATTTGACACCATGACATTTCAAGATATTAGCTTTCACCACAGAATCAATATGAAATTTAGCACTGGATGAGCAGAGTTGATGTTTAAGGTTATGCACACGTTTGCCAGATCAAGAATGTGTACTGACCGGTTACGTTCAGATGGGCTTCGTGGCTGTAGCGGGTGTTGGCGATATTGCTGGCAACGCAGCGGTAGATGCCAGCATCTGCTTTTTTGACTCCTGTAATCTGCAGGATGCCCATTGGGAGAAGTGTGTACCTGTGAAGGTGAAGAAGAAAATGAAAAATACGGCTTAATAAACACACATCGATACTTATCCTTGAAAGTGCACAATAGTTTTTTGTGCAAGAATTTTTCTGAAATAAAAACTATAATTTTTCTGCTGGTCTGCTACCTTGTTAATTCGCTGACATATTGTGGCCTCGGCTCACTAGGTTGCTTAATTTACCTTAAATACAGTTGAAACCAGAAGTTTACATACACACTAAAAAAAGAGCATAACCATTTTTTTTTACATGTCTGATGGTAAATCATACTAAACATTTACTATTTTTGGTCCGTTAGGATCACCTAAATGATTTACATTTGCTAAATGTCAGAATAATGAGAGAGGTTTTTTTAAGTAGTAAATCCAGAGAAAATGAGAATTTTCAAGTGGTCAATATTTCCATACCCTGTTAAAAAATCTATAAATTAGCAGTTTTCTGTATTTTGTGATTCGTGTTTTATTTTTTCCCATGTATTTATGCAATTGAATTGCATTATGAGACCCTTAATCTTTAATCTTTGTTTCCATATAAAGTCCTTAAATTTGAAGATAATGGACCTGGAAAGTCCTTGACAGATTCTTGAATGTGAAGTTACTCAATGAAAATGACTGTAAGATCTGTAGTTACAGTACCTGTCATCAGATGTACCAAGCACAACATGGTCCTTCTCCCAAGTGATGCTGGCTTCAGGAATACCATTGACCTGACACTGGAAACGTGCAACGCCTCCATCATCTACTGACATTGACTCCGGGTGAGTGTGAAATTTGGGAAGAGCTGTGGGACATAGAGAACTAATGTAAAACAGTTTACCCAATGCTCGGATTTGTTCATATTTCACACAATATTTGAATTGAATAAACACAGCTTTCGGTTTTTCTTAAAAGTAATATAAGTTGATTGCATGAATATTGACCAAATGTAGAGATAAGAGGGTTATCGTGTGATGTTTTATTTAAAATAAAAGCAGTTCTTTGTTCATTTTGATTTATTAATTAAGGAAAAACTTTTAAAATCTCAAATTCTTGCAATGAACATAAAAAGTAACGTTTCTTGCGCTGTAAATCAGCATATTTTAATTATTTCTGAATGATAATGAGACATTGAAAACTAAAGTAATTGCCATTAAATAAAAAAATTGTGTTTTTGATCACTTTTTAACAAGTTTTATAAGCTGCAATATATTTTACGATATTATTTTTAAGTGTACAAATGATTAAACAAATGCAGCTTGACTTCCTTTTCTTCCCATATAAAAGATACTGAAAAAACACATTGATTTCTTTATGCATTCATCACAATATTAAACGTTTTTAATTCAACTTAGCTATATTTAGCCACTATTTTAGTCAGCATTGGTAAATTCCAAACATATACTTTTATATATATATATATATATATATTGTGTGTTTGATTTCTTCTGATGACGATAATAAAAAAAGGAAACTTGTTTTCTAGACATTACTAAAGAAACAGTGTAGATTATAATCTTTAATGATTGTGAATTCCATGCGCTATAATAACAACAACAACAACAACAACAACAACAACAACAACAACAACAACAACAACATCTGTTTCTAATATACTATGATAACTTGATGTTGTCATTCAAAATGTTGCTTTTTTCCACTGGGGATGTTGACTGCGCTGTCCAGAGCATTGTGTGGTCTAAATGGCCTGGTCATTCATATAATCAATAGTTAGGGGTTTTGGAAGAAGGGACTCCCAAGGAGAGTTCATCGCCATGGTAACATCGCACCTTCTGAGGAAGCATGTAGTGACAACCATAATTCTGCAGGATTATCACCCACCCTACTGCTTTATAGGACCAAAGGGAGAAGATGAGGAAGAAAAGAGGAAAAGCTAAGACTGAGAGAGTCACAAGTGGACTCTGCTGAATTTCGCACTAAGTAGAGACACTGCAGGTCAATTTGGAGATTTCAGGCTTTGTGGCTTTACATCTAATCTACACTGAAATAAAATGATGTCTGCAAAATTAATGCAAACAATTTATCATTTTTTCTTTTCGACTTAGTCCCTTTAATAATCTGGGGTCACCACAGCGGAATGAACCGCCAACTTTTCCAGCATACAGTTTAAGTTAGAATTCTTAGCAGCCCTGAATTATTACCCCCCCTGTTCATTTTTTCCCAATTTCTGTTTTTCGGAGAGAAGGTTTTTTCAACGCATTTCTAAACATAATAGTTTTAATAACTCATCTCTAATAACTGATTTATTTTATCTTTGCCATGATGACAGTAAATAACATTTTACTAGATATTTTTCAAGACACTTAAAGAGACATTTAAAGGCTTAACTAGGTTAATTAAGTTAACTAGGCAGGTGAGGTTAATTAGGCAAGTTATTTTGTAGCGATGTTTTGTTCTGTAGACTATTGAAAAAATTATATAACCTAAAGGGGCTAATAATATTGACCTTAAAATGGTGTTTAAAAAACTTACAAACTGCCTTTATTCTAGCCAAAATAAAACAAATAAGCCTTTCTCCAGAAGAAAAAGTATTATCAGACATACTGTAAAAATTTCATTGACATGTTAAAAAATATTTAAAAAAGAAAAAAAAATCAAAGGGGGGCGAATAATTCTCTTAAATTTAAACACACAAATAAAATTTAGTAATGTTCAACTTATTTTTTTCGTTTGTTTAAACTCAATCCAAATAAATTTACAACCACTTAAATTAAAAATATTTTGTAAATCAGGAATCATCTTTGAATCAACCAACAACAAATCAGTTTAAATGTTTCTTTTGTAGGGTGGCACGGTAGCGCTGTGGGTAATGCTGTCGCCTCACAGCAAGAAGGTCACTGGTTGAAGCATCACTGGGTTAGTTGGCATTTCTGTGTGGAGTTTGCATGTTCTCCCTGTTTTTGTGGGTTTCCTCCTGTTGCTCCGGTTTCCCCAACAAACCAAAGACATGCAGTATAGGTGAACTGAATAAACTAAATTAAATGAGTGTGAATGAATGTGTATGGGTGTTTCCCAATTTCCGCAGATGGAAGGGCATCCGCTGTGTAAAAAAATATGCTGGAAAAGTTGTGCTAGTAATATATACAAATGTGTGCATATTTATAGAAATAATAACTCATTTGCATACTTAAATATAACATATTAGAACATTTGATACAAAAAAGGTTTGCTGTTTCTAATGTAATGAGTCATTTAGGAAAATATGCTCAAACTGATTACTTATTATGTTCATCAGCAGTGCTATAAAGGCAGAGTCCACTTTTTTGAAAATAGGCTCATTCTGATTCATTGATTTTCCTTTAGCTTAGTCCCTTATTTATTAGAGGTCCCCACAGCGGAATGAACCATCAACTATTCTGGCTTAAGTTTTATGCAGCGGATGGTCTTCCAGCTGCAACCCAGTACGGGGAAACACCCAAACACACTCGCATTCACACATGCACTCATACACTAAGGCCAACTCTGTTTACCCAATTCACTTATAGCGCATGTCTTTGGACTGTGGGGGAAATCGGAGCACCCAGAGGAAACCCACGCAAACATGGGGAGAACATGCAAACTCCACACAGAAATGCCAACTGACCCAGCCTGGACTCGAACCAGTGACCTTCTTGCTGTGAGGCGACAGTGCAAACCGCTGAGCCACCGTGCCGCTAGGGTCATTTTATAACTGCTAATTTTTTGAGATGCTAATGGTCTAATCCAATGCAATGATCTATGCTAAGCTAAGCTAAAAGTGCTTCTGCCAGACCCGGATATAATCAAAATGGTTTGTATAATAGTGAAACTCAAGTCAAAAAAAAAAAGTGGAGTGTTCATCTAAAAGTGGCCAAACCATGCGAGTTTCAATGTGATTATATTTCTGATGGGTCACTCACATGCGAGCTGCACACGGGCCTTACGGCTGACCAGCATGCCGTAGTGGTTCTGTGCAGCGCAGTAATATTCTCCAGCATCGGTTGCATCGCCATCCCGTCTCTTTTGGAAGCTGCGGATCAGGAGCGTGCCGTTGGACAGGATCTTAACCCGACTGCCAATGCCAGCGAGTAGCGGTGCTCCGTTTTTGTGCCACGTCACTGTGATGGGACCTTCGCCTTCCACCCTGCAGTCAAGCATCAAAGGCCTGTCCCGGACAGCGATCACATCACTGGGCTCTATGAGGAAAGCCAGCTCTGATCCATTACACAAACCTGAGAGAGAAAAAAGAAGATTCAGAACACAAGAAGAAGTTACATGTTTGTGTAGCTATTTATTTAATAGATTGTTTCATAGTTTTTAAACAGTAAATCAAAGTCAATGATGCAAACTTAATTTACACTGTGCAATAAACCAGATGCAGCAAAACAGTAGTGTTATTATTGAGCTCATTGTTAATTCATTCTGAAATGTATTTTAGACATCCAAATTTGACACACACACACACACACACACACACACACACACACACACACACACACACACACACACACACACGCAAACAGACACACACACACACACACACACACACACACACACACACACAAGCAAACAGACATGAAGAGACTGAGAGTTCATTTATCATACAATTATTCAGTACTTTCAACTCCTGACAGCTTGGACTGTGTTAAAAACGACTTATTTTTTCCACTCTCCCCCTATTCGTCCTGTGTGTTTTTATGCGTCTAGGTTTTTATATTTACCCTACCTGACAAAAGTCTTGTCGCCTATCCAAGTTTTAGGAACAACAAATAATAACTTGTCTTCTAGTTGATCATTTGGTATCAGAAGTTTACGTTTACTTTACTAAAATAAAATATGATCATGCCTTTATTTTTAATGATTTAATTAGGACAGTGAAGTCTGACTTTGCTTAGACAAAAATCTTGTCACTTAGAAGAAATAATGTCCAGTATAGAATATAAAGTCATGCTGCAGTGGAAAAAGAATGGATATTGTGTTTGACTCCCATGAGCTTGGAGGACTGCATCCATACATCTCTGCAGTGACTCAAATCACTTATTAATAAAGTCATCTGGAATGGTGAAGAAAGCGTTCTTGCAGGACTCCCAGAGTTCAAGATTCTTTGGATTCATCTTCAATGCCTCCTCCATCTTACTCCAGATATGCTCAATAACGTTCATGTCTGGTGACTGGGCTGGCCAATTCTGGAGCACCTTGACTTTCTTTGCTTTAAGTAACTTTAATTTGGAGGCTGAAGTATGAGGAGCGCTATCCTGCTGAAGAATTTGCCCTCTCCCGTGGTTTGTAATGTAATGGGCGGCACAAATGTCTTGATACCTCAGGGTGTTGATGCTGCCATCCACTTTGCAGATCTCTTGCACACCCCCATACTGAATGTAACACCAAACCTTGATTTTTCCTTCACCAAACTTGACTGATTTCTATAAGAATCGTGGGTCCATGCAGGTTCCAGTTGGTCTTCTGCAGTATGTGTGATGATTGGGATGCAGTTCAGCAGATGATTCATCAGAAAAATCAACCTTCTGCCACTTTTCCAAATGATCAACTAGAAGTCAAGCTATTATTTGTTGCTCTTATAACTGGGATCAACAACAAGACTTTTGTCAGGTAGTGTACTGGATGCTATTGGACGGCTTATTTTCCTTTGGGATTAATAAAGTATCTAAAGTAAGTAAGTAACTAACTAAATATGAACTCATAATCCATCAAATAAATATGCAGAAATGGGGTTATAATTATGTTCAAACTTGTGAAAAATAATCCATCAATTGGCAGAAATATTCTGGATATAAACAATTATAGCTAAATCCGGTTTGAATGCCACTGATACTGCATTAAATTGAACTGAATCAGAACTTGAACTGACTTCTTCTGTATAGTTGATTGCAGTTTATTTCCTAATTCAACCATGTTAAATGCTAGCAAAGTACTTATTTTAATGTATAACATAACACATCTACTCATCAATAATAGTAATAATAGATTAAATAATGTTGATGAACCATCATTGAGTATAAAAGTCCTATTTTGATCTATTCTGACTCTGAAAAATTATAATTAATTAATATTGTGGCTCCAATGTGATTCTTAAATAAAGTGTTTTTAAAATAAAACAAAAAGATTTTTTTGGTATATAAACAATTGTTATACTGTGTCTGTATATTTTTCCTCATAAAGATTTCAAATTAAATCGGACATATTGTGACACATCAAAAACTTTAAGCTTTATTTCACTTTTATTGTTTTGATGCTTGAAATCCCTTTTGCTCTTTGAGTTTGTTGTCTTCAAACACTCGAACAAAAGCCCAAACGCCATTGAAAGTGAACCCTCCGAGGGCAAACTTTCCATATCCAAAAAAAAAACTGCAATTGTGTCTCATGAGCGATGTCATTGTGCGCTCCGCCATCTAAGCATATCTCCCTATTTACTCAGTATCACCAAACCAAACCTGAAGTCCACAATAGAGACAAACGCAATGCAGCCAGTGAACCATAGAGGGCTCCGACAAAGCCAGAGACGAAGGGATGGAGAATCAGGGTGAGTTATGGGGTCAAGTTAGAGGAATCTCTTTTGAGTAAACCCACCCTGATGACAATAGGCCTGTGACGACACCCACAAAAAAACAACTCTCAGCAACCACCAGGAGCCCTATGCACCTCTCTGGAGTCTGGACCATCTGCCCCCCACTTATGCAAACCCCCACCGTCCCAAAACCCCTATTTTCCATTCAGTCTGATTCTAGGGTGACTTTCCCATGCCACGGGCTCACCCCAGTCCTCTCTCATTGTCAAGCCACTACACGGACGATCTACAATCTCCTGTGCTTTTCATATGGAGAACTCCAGACCTAAAGCCAGGCTGAACGTGACCTCTGGAGATGGCCGGTGTCTCCGGCAGCTGTTATGGTAAAGAGCACAAGTCTGGGCTTGAACTTGCACTAGATGAGATGTGAAGTACCTTCTGCATCTGTTAGATAGATCTAACCCCCCCATTCAAAATGCACTTGTGTTCTTCTGTTTGCTAAAATATTCTCATTTCTGACCACTGGGGTCCTCGAAAGCCACCTGGACTTAGTCATGATAGAGACTGTTTGGACAAAAATGAACGCTTTGTAGTTATTTATTCTAAGCAAACCAAAAATAAGAAGTAAAATAGTCTATATTATGAAAGTCAGTATTTTTAAATGACTTTTATTGTATTGACAAAAACGGTATATTTACTATTCGTACAAGGGCAGCACAATGTTGGAAAAATCGATATTACAATATTTTATTTTTCTGCGATTAATTTTGCGAAATGACGATATGATTTAAAAATATCTGACCATTTATTGGGAAGTTTAACAGTATTCAGGAACAGAAATTGAATAATCACGATGCAAAAAAAAAAATCTTACTTTGCTATGTCTCGTTTCTTGTAAAAATTTCTAAAAATCCAAAGATCAAGCAAAAATATTGTTTTGTTTTCAACTTCAGAAGAAATAACTCAAAATTAAGAGTTTTTCCTTAAAACAAGTAAAATGATCTGCCAGTAGGGTAAGTGAAATAATCTTGTTTTTGCTTTGAAATGTCGATATTTGGACTAGAAACAAGATAAAAACTCTAAATATGTAAAGCTTTTTTTAAAATTATTGTATTTTTTTGCATAAATAATTTAAATGCTTTATAAATACAGTATTTAAATGCAATTTTGTAGCTCTTGATCAACTATCTTGCAATGTGATTATTGCGAATGTGCACATTGCAATATCTATGCTGAAACAATATATTATGCAGCCCTAATTTGTACACGGGATGAAATTAAAGGTACTCGATCCATCACTGGGGTGATACCTTTTCGAAAGGTACACATTTGTAGCTAAAAGGTCCATATTAATACCTCAGGGGTACATATTAATACCTAAAAAGTACAAAAGTGTTCTTCCTTAAAATTATTAGGTACTAAAATGTACCCTTGAGGTATTAATATGGACCTTTTAGGTACAAATTTGTAAAAAAGGGTATACCACCCCAGTGACAAATCGCCTTTATTTCTGAGAGCATACAGGCTTGGTCATTTTCATTTAATATTACCATATAAATGTTAATTGTCAGTGGGGATGTGGACTAAGGTGCCAAAAGCATTGTGATCATTCATAAAATCAATATATCAGGGTGTAATTCAGTGTAACAATAGTGTTTATATCAAATAATCTTTAAAACACTTTACTTTTTAAGGATAGGTGCATTATTTACTCATACTTCACTTGCAATAAAGCTGTTTGAACTTCTTTCTTCTGATGCACACAAAACTAACAGCCATTGACTTCCATACTTTTGTTTGTTCTTACTATGGATGTCCAACATTCTTCAGAATATCGTGTTTTGTGTTCAACAGAAGAAGAAAATAGTAAAGGTTTGGAAGCACTTTAAGTGTGAGGAAATGTTCATTTATGGGTGAACTATCCCTTTAAGGATCACAGGGCTTTTAAAGTCTTTTTACGTTTTCACTATCCTTCAGATAACTAGGTTTTACTCATCTTTATTCATTTAATTTCAAATCTAATAAAAATCAGTACATGATCACATTTATTTTATTGTTATTTTTAAGTATTTTAAATATGCTGTTTCTTTATATATATATATATATATATATATATATATATATATATATATATATATATATATATATATATATATATATTAGGTGTGCTGAAAGACACACGTTTTGATATTTTTTATTTGACTTATAGACTGATGTGCCATAGCTGATGTGTCATTATTAATACAGTATAATCATTCACTTATATTATTTATTATTTGACATGTTTAGTTTCATATAGGCCACTCAAAGCAGTAACAATGTGTTACACATTTATATAAGGATGCAAAATATATTTGAAATGTTCAGCAGAATACATGAACAAAAGAGATATCTCTTTTACTTTATCACATTTAGTTTTGTCGTCATTCAGCAAAACAGAATTATTAATGTAAAAATGAAGCAACACACTTATTCTGAAAGGCTTTTCGCTATACATTTCTTTGGGTTTCATGGTAAAATGTCTGAAACGGTGCCCAATTTTTACATTACCAATGACAGCATAAGTTTAGTTACACCTTGACTAGATCAACAACATTCGTTTTCTTTTTCGGCTTAGTCTCTTTATTAATCAGGGGTTGCCACAGCGGAATGAACCGCCATCTTATCCAGCATATGTTTTTTGCAGTGTGCCCTTTGAGCAGCAAC